TACTTGTCTTTGTTTTATGGACCATTGAAGCTTAAAAAAAACATCCTTCACATATTCTAAAATGATCTTATTTTGTACATAATATTTATTCTTTTTACATAAATTATAAGAAAAGTATCTGTAAAAATATTTACATATAAGTACAGTATTATCTTGCTGAAAAAACAACGGGAAAGGTTATAGTTAACTGAGATGATAACATTCATATATCTTAATTATTATGTTTGTTTTTCTCATTTTAAATTTATATAAACTATATAATTGAAAGATGAGTGACATAAATGTTTGTTGTTCGGATATGATTTTTTTTAAATTTTAAATTTCATTTGTTTGAAATGTTGTAATTCAAGAAAATTAAGGTACTTCTGTGAGGTAAACTGCTACAGACATTTCCCTCACAGAAAATATTTCCTTAAAATTCCTCTTTAAATATATCAGACTTTGTAATTGTCTAATCAAAATTTACATAGATTTATCATAAATAAATTTACATCAAAATCTATGGAATTTATGTTGATAATTTTATCTTTTGCAAATATTTCTATGAAGATTTATATGTTTTAAATGTTATCATATTAAAAGTAAATATAAATTTGTAATGATTACCCTGATATTTCATGTTTTTAAAGACATTTAACTTCAGTAACATTTACAAAAAAAGGAAAAAATATCTTTAACTAAAACAATGTTTCATAAAAATAATCACAGTTCAACCAATAGATATGTTCTATATGGAAATTTTACTGACACATTCAGTCAATTACCTTCCAATCAATATTCAACATCATAAACTATAAGAAAATTATCTAAAAAAAACTATAACATCTTTTTAGGTTATACTGTAACTTTCTCATAATCTTGTTGAAAGATTATGAGAAAGTTACAGTGATTTTTTAATGAAAATATTTGTTAATTTAGGTAATAATAAATAATAATATAGTAGTATATATATAATGATGCACTGATGATGTTTTTCCAATAGGCAAGTTACTGATAATCACTAACTGTCAAACTTGTACTAAAAGTTGTCAAATTATTTTTTATATTTATTTATTTATAACAAAATATAACTAGTTCTTAATTAAAATTTATTTATACTCAATCTGAATAAATTTTCAGAAAAAAACTTATTTTAATATTATCTTATATATTTCTTAAATACTCTGTTCTATAAATTATTTTTAAATTCAAAAATTTTATATATTTATCTTCATTAGTAAAATAAATATCTAAGTAATTTAATCATTATTTTACAGCTGAATCATTAATTTCTCACCTCCCTAAATATTGAAATTGTTTATTTTTCCCATATTAAGTAACTGTGGTTGAGAGTTGTTTATTAGAAAAAGTTTAAAATCCCAAAACTAAAATTTTTTAAAGTAAATGTAACAAGGAAATACAATTAATACTGTGACAATATTAACAAAAAGTTTCTTCATCTTTTCTTAAAGATTGATTTGCAAATTACATTGATGTTAGCAGTAAAATAGATGCTGATTTAAATGTAAAGATGTTATTTTTAAATTTTTTTGCTAGAAACAAAGTTCTAAAATTTTAAAGTTTGTTTTTGTATTAGAATAGAACCTGATAATGACTAATTAAATTAGCTGAAAATGTTTGTTCTGGTGTAAATTTTATGCTGGATAATAAAGATTTTAGTTTCTTAAGATGCTTTGCTAGGTATTTGACAAACTTACACTATAAAGAAAGGACTGAATTTATTCCAAAGCTACTTAAATTTTTATGGAGTCACTAGTCCACATCATTGATTATTTGACAGATAAGCTTTAGATCAGAAATTTAAATAATTCAATTATTTACATAAAATTAGTTTAATTTTAAACTTTAATATAAAATTAGAAAAAATATTATTATTTTTTTTTTGTATATTTAATCAGATATTCTATAGGAAAATATTAACTAGGAGGCTATTTCCTAATTATTTTAAATCAGAAAAATTATAATGTATTACAATGTCAATCCAAAATTCTCCTAATTAATTTCCAGAAATGTAACTAAATACATAGCATTTGTATGTAAATAACAAACTGTTATATTATTATGTAAAATGCTTAAAGCATTTCTTTATGATTGCTAAATACTGTAGTTACTATGGCTGTTAACAATTACTTTACATGCACTAATATGTACAGTCTTCATACCATACCATAAATATTGCATTTATAAGATGGAAAACAACATGTGTTACAAAAAAATGCAGACAAAATTCAGAATAGAAAAACAAGAAATAAATTGCAATATATTCTTAATAATGTTTCTGATATTTGTGTAAATTAGAGAATTGATTAATTATTGTGAGTGATATCACAAAACTGTATTTAGACTTTCTGCTATACAAGGTACAGTACATGATATGATGCTGTGATGTCTCTTCCAGCATCAGCTACATTCAAGATGCATATTCCATTTCTTGACACCTAAAGTGCTTTTCAAAACATCTAAACATGATTCTAACATTTTAACCAATTACATTTGGAATGTGACTTGAGACTTTCCGTGTGTGTTATTTTATTAAGATGTATTGAATGTTTTGGATATAAACATAAAATTTTCTTATATAAATATTGGGCAGAAACTACTGAATTACGAATTATGTACATTGTACATTTTGTGAAGTTTAGGCATTAATAACATAGACATTCTACTGAGAAAACATTAAGCAATACGGCCTGAATTAGCATTAAACAACTGTGGTCATCTGTAACAGACAATTCTAATAATATTATCTCTTGTAAAGATTTCCATAGATAGTATCATGCAGGATGAAAAACATAAAACATGAATATCTAAAATAGCATACTGGAAGAATTTATCTGGTATGCAACATCATGTCATATGTCATATGGTTTCATTTAATTTTCATGGTATAATATTTACAATTACAATATACTTAATAATTGTAGTATTCTATTATTATAGCTTCTCAATATAAAACATTTCAAACAGTTTAAAAAAGCATCCTGAAGTAAATAATATAAATCTCACTGAAATTATGTGATTTAATTTCAGTTTTACATTCAGATTGGTTTATCATTATTCTTTTTTTAAGTTTATTCTAATTAAAGTAAATCTACTTCACTTCTTTAAGCAATATTGTCTGAATTGTACATTTTTTCTTAAAAGTTAAATATGCCTATTCAAAGTCTACGATATAGTGTTTTCTCATATATTTGTTTCAGAGGCTATCACATAAAAATCAGTATTAAAAAATCAAAATTAGCAAACAAATAGCAAGAGTAGAATGTAATTTATAGTCTGCTATCAATTTTAATACTGAAAATAGTTTTAAAAATAAAGGAAAAGAAAAAAGATGGTAAAAAACAAACATTCATTATTAAGTATCTAAAGCTATACATCAACCAAAGCCAAATATTATCGGGTTAGAAACAGCTATAAGTATCTAATTTGATGATGATAAACTAAATTTATTAACAGATTCTCAATTCAGAAATCTTTGCCAATACTTTTTTCTTACTATCAAATTGTTTTTTAACTAAATAATTTAATTTGTACAGTTATTAATTAGAAATACTTAACATTAGATTTATCTAAGTCAGTGTTTCTCAACCTCTAACAAATCGTCGCCCCCTTCAACGTAGTATTGCCCCCTTCACTACAAAATTCCAATGCCGGGGGCCAAGACTAACGTCAAATTCACACTGTATTGAATAGACTAGTGACTACTATAATGTTATTTGCTTAATTATTGCACGATATAACGAATAAAATATCTAATTATTCTTAATATAATGTTTTACTATATTGCCCAGAAAACTGTTTTTCGCCCCCCCCCCAAAATATAAATTGTTACTAATCGCCTCCTCAACATGAAAAAACGCCCACATGGGGGCGATATCGCCCCAATTGAGAAACACTGATCTAAGTGAAACATCAAATAAGAAACTAGATTCTATTAACTTAAAAGGTTGTTAAGTTAAAATTATTGCCATCTTTTAATTAATACTTTTTATTACAAAATAATTAATAAAAAAAATATATAAATTATTTTTTATAACATACAAAAAATCTTGACCATTTTTGTAGTTTAAAGCTGCTATCTAGAAAAACTCTTTTAATAGATAAATGTTTCTAATTTAATATTCAAACTATAAAATTCAAAAATCAAATTTTTACTTATTTTATTTCAAGAAGACTATAATTATATTTTGTATTATAATATATCACAATTAGTCTTGTGATATTTATTATAATTAAATACAATTACAAATTATTTTATTGTTTTAATATTTGAAATAATGCATTTATTAAGATCAAATTTAAATATTCCATTTCAGAAATAGTTTTTATAACGTTAAATATTGTTAAAGAAACAATTTCTTTCAAATATTGAGTTATAATAAAAATATTTAAAGATTTCAAAAATCCAAATTTATTTGTGATTATTATAATGAGTAAATAACTCCTTATAATTTATATGCTGTAGTTATTGTTATATGTATTATAAATTGTAAATTTCAAATTTCAAATTATAAAAATTTTTATGAAACCAAAAACTAATATTCTACATATTATTGCATCAGTTATTCAGTGTTATAACTATATTCTTCACATTAAAAATACCAAATTTTGAAAATTCTTTATGCCATAAAATTTCAAGGAACTTTGAAAAGAAACATATGAAAAAGACAAACTTGTGATATCATCAGTGAACAAATCACAACTAATTTTATGCAGATTCATTCATTTATAGTCTATAAACTTTGATACTTCACACAGCTACAGATGGTTCAGGGTGGTTCACATGAAATTCAATTTTGACTCTCCCCTCTTGCACAGTATAACATATTACAAGAACCTCTCCCTAGCTTGCCTCATTAAATTTTAAACAGTGAGAATTGGATTTTTCATAGCAGTGGTCTCCTGCAAGCAGAACTATCACTTTCTAGCTGTCCTGCTGACCATACTAAAGGTGAAGGCAAAAATTGTATTAAAAAAAAGAAAAAAAGAAAAAATCTTACCATTCAGCCTGTTCTGCCGGTTGGACTTTACACGTTGATATGTCTGTGGAGAAAGGAAGACGGACTGTCACATATCAACATTCTGATTGTCACTTTGCAATGTAAATACACTACTTTTGCAGCCGTATTTTATGCTGACACAGATGGCACCGGTAGTAAAAGCACAGAGCCAACTAGAAGATTATTTTACAAATGTTATAAAGCTAGCCAATCTGTTAGCTGAATGACAGCCCATTATATTTTATGTTTTAAATTTTTTTTGTTTGATTTTTCACTGATATTTTTAAAAGAAACATCCAAAATACCCATAAAACGGGCTAATTGAACTCTTAATTTTTGACATTAATATGGAAAGACAATCAAATAATATATAACTTAATAAATTCATTATATAATATTTCATTAATATAACTGTTTCCTACCTCCCATCGAACTTCAGGAGTTCCTTTGTCATTTCCAAGTTCCTTTTTTTTATTTCCTGGTATAGAAGGTGTTGACTATTAACATAAAGAAATGAGTAAAAAAAATTGAATTAAACTCAATTTTTATAATTTTTATATATGACATAGGATATACTCTAATTAGATATCTTTTTGTTTTAAAATAAGTTTTAAAAATATGTTAAGATAAATCCACATTTTTACTCTAATAAAAATTTTGCAAATATTTATTTCATATTCAATTTAAAACATTTGTAAATAAAACTTCAATTTTCTTTATTTATAAGAAAATTATAATTAAGAATATTTTTTGGAAAATCTAAGCAACTTCTAGAATCAAATTACTTAAAGTCAAATTTTTGATATCATCCATTTAACTGTCAACACAAAGTGTAATGTACATTAATTAATTGACACAATTATTTAAACTGAATTACATGCTTGATTCTAAATATTTACAAAATAGAAATTACTTAAATTTAAATATTTTAAGCATATTAAAAATAATTTTTAATATTTAATACTATTTAAGAAATATGTCAAATCTATATTTAAGTCGAAAATTTCTAATTTATCTTAATAGTTGCTACTCCCAAAAGACTTTTTCAATAAGAAATTTGAGTAGATAATATTAAAACTCTTTTTTCTTAAAAATTCATAAGTAAAATAATTTTTTTTAATTATAAATTATGATTTTTTTCATCAAAACAATTATTAAACATACCCTACTCTGAGGTGTGCTTTCCCTCGATGGTCGTTTAGTTCTACAATTAAAAATTTAACAAAAATAGTTTTTGAAAATTTAAAATTTATTTCTCCAATAACATTACAAATTTAATAAAATTTTTGAATTAATTAAATTAACAAAAAATAAAAATAGACATACTTGTTAATTTTTCCAAGTTTATCTAATTCATGTTCAAAATGGGCAGCTAATTCTGGCTGGCGTATAGTCAATCCACATATTGGACAGCATGGTGATTTACCATCAAAAGGGCCACGTTTTTTGATTTCTAAATTTATCATCAAATTCAGATATAATAATAACATAATATAATAATATTTAATAAAAAATAAGTTATCTTATGAAGTTATTTATTAAAAACATAACTAAAGTAAAATTTACTTAAATAATTTAACAGTTTAAGTCATAAATTTAAAAAACTTTTTAACAAGTTCATATTTTAAAAGAAAAACAAAAAAAATTTCATTAATATTTTTAAAAAATTAAAATATTAATCACTTTCTTACACATATGGCTGAAATTTGTTTTTAATCCAACACTGTACATATTGATACAAATCAGTGGCTCCATTGTTGTAAATTGAATACAAATAAAAAAATATATTGATATAAAGTTTCTTGAAATATTCAACATTGCTATTCTACTTAGTAATTTTTTTAAAGTTGATTTGTAATTGATTATATTTATTCAATTAAATATTATTATTAAACAGAAAAAAATAGAAGTGTATTTGAAATACAAAAATAAACTAAATCTATGTAACAATAAATTCTCTTTATCATAGTTTTATAAAGTTATAAAATATTTAAAATAAAAAACAAAATTAATTTTCCAGTGTTTTACAGCATTTATTTCTTTAATCTTTAGCTAAGATTATTATTATGATCAACAATAAACTATAATGACAATTTTAAAATAAAAGAATAAATGAATTTACAGTTATTAGTGACAAAATTATAATATAATGCACTCTCACTAATAACATCTTGTGCTAATCCAAATTAATTTTATTTATTAATATTTTCCTGCTACATATTCTAACTGAAACAAAAAAATACAATAATTCTTATAAGTGTGACAAATTTGTAAGTTAATACGTACAAAATGTTTTAACTTAAAGAATCAGTATAAAAATATTTTTTATAATTATGTCTATTTGTTTATATTTCTTTACAACTTTTTCCTTTATATATAATCCTGTTAATCCAAACTTTTTATTATTCTGAACAATCCTGTATAATAATTTATTTAGACTAGCAAAAGTGCACTGTATTGTATAGAAAAGTGATTCTCAAAGTTATTCAATTTGTGGATCATTTAACACAAGTCACAGATGAATTGTGGATCACCTATGCCTCACTCCACTTTTATCCTGTATTATCTTTTAATATTCTGTTTAGAAACATTGAAGATGATTTTTAAAGGTCAAAAACATTAAAAAATAAGGTGGCTAAAGTTAAAGATTAGTGTTTTAAAACTCAGATACATGCCATAATATTTTGTCTCTCTGGTAAGCTAATGTAACAGATATAGATGCATGAAAATGTTCTTTCCTCTAGCTAAAGAGTAAAGATTTGCATTAATGGAAAAATGACTAGGTCAGTCTGCAGACCACCAGTGGTCCAACAACCATACATTGATTAACACTGGTATAGAACAAACAAATTCACTTAATCAATTTTATATAAAAAGAGAAAATAATAATAATTTAATACTATTAAGAGAATTAAATTATTTTAAAATTAAGTAAGAAAATCTTCATAAATTTTATAAATTTAGTGAAAATATATTTATCTTAATCCAACTATCATATGTTTGAATTTAGATAATTCAACATCTAACTCAATCTATATAATATTACTTAAAGTATAATTGCATATACTAGTGATATATAAAAATTAATTTTTTTCCTATTTCATCAACTATAAAGATAACTATAATAATATAATGACCTGAAACATTAAAAATAAATGTTTTCCAGTCATCATTCTGATCTCCAAGCATCAAATGTAAAAAATCAGAAAAATTTAAAAAATAAAACTATATATAAATATTGCATTTGGTTACATTTTAACTATTTAAAATAATGTTATAAAAATTAAATAAAAATAAAAATAAAACATTGTAAATTTTTTAAACATGCTTCTTAACATTTAAAAGTTACTTGATATTATTGGATATATATCTCATATCTATAATCTCAAATCAATATTTATAAAATTGAAAAATTAGTTTAAAAAAACATTATATTTATATTTTAAAAATTTTTATCAGAGAATTTAAAATTCAATATTTATTCTTTACAAGTTACTTTATCATCAAAAACCAAAACAGTTATTTTTAAATTTAAAAACAAAAAACAAAACCTGGTTACATTGGCAAGATACTAATTTATAATTTCTTTTCATTCTGAACCTGAAAATATTTACTGTTTATTTAAAAAGAAAAAATATATATATACAGTATATATAGACATTATCTACATATTAAATACTGTTAGTGATCTGCTAACTGCTAATTAGATTCAGTTCAAAGCTGGTTTAGCATGAAAAACAAAACAGCTATAAGCACCCTAATGGTTCTTAGTGAGACTAGAGAGAGAAGACAAATATATCAGATATATCGTTGGTGCACAAGAATAGTGACACAACTCAAAAATTTCCAATTTCAAGTTTATTGTAGAAATGTATAGCAAACTCCCCATATTTTTATGTGGAAGAACAAACACTAATATTTATTTCCAAAAAAAAAATTTGAAAAATTTAAAAATCCAAGATCATGACAAAGCCTTACAGGAAACAAGAAACTTTTAAATAGCTGTTCTGGAAGATCCATTTTTTCAGTTGTGTCACTATTCTTGATATTTAAAATGAAAATATTCTTTGAGTAATTTTTTTTAAAATTTCTAACCCAAATCATAATTTAGTCTTTATAATACTAAAAGTACTAAAATAATAAAAGAGATTATTGTATTCAATTTTAAATTGATTTCATAGAACAAATTTCTTTTTTAATTTTTTTACAAAATAGTGGATGAAAATTTTTAAACTGAATTGAATAATTAATTTTTGTGTTTCTTTTCATTACTTTCTTTTGTTACATTTAATTGTAAAATTTATTTATTCAAAGTATTGTGAAAGATTCAAAGATATATTTAATTGTAATGTACAAAGTGCAGTTTAATTGTTATAGATAAGTATTATTAAACACAAAAATCTATAAAGCTGTAATCTGTTTACAGAAAACCTAACTCTAAAATTATTAAATATAATTTTCTAATAATATATCAAGAGATCAAAATCATCTTTTGATTGTGTATCTGCTTATTTGTGGACTGTTGTCAAAAGGAAATGACTTAGATATCTATCTCATAATGTTGTTTGGCCTTAATTATGACCCGTGGCCAGAGTATCATTAGCGTAAATCCATCATTGAAACCACAGGAAGCATAAACATCATTTATTTCTGTCTAATTATCAGGTTAACAGGAAATTCTTTTCAATTCATTTGTTTGAAAAGTTGAGAGTAATATAATAGCTACAAAATTCCCAAAATTATTTGATTATGGATGTATATTTTTTTTAGTTTAAACAAAATAAAATTAAATATTCAATATTTTAAAATTTTCAAGTTATAAAACAGCAAAATTGTTTTCAAAAATAAAGTTTAATTATAAAAATTTTTATATAAATGCAATATAGAGATAAATTATTAAAGGCCATACTGTATTTCAAAAGATAAAATAAAAAGAAGGAATTGATAAAAACCCATCTTGTAGTCTTTATTGTTCTGAAGTTCAAGATCTTGAATTGGAAAAATTTTGGTTTTATATTTCTTCGAAAACAAATTATTCTGTCAATAAATATCACTATCCATTTTCTACTGATATCTTGAAGATGAGCATCAGCAAATAAGTAGCAACTAATTTTTTCCAATATATTTCACTTGTTAAAATTTTCCAATTAATTTCAATATCAATACTATTTCATTAAATAAAAATTATATAAATACAATAAAATTTCACTTTTTCTTAAATAGAATTACAATTCAATATTAATGTAGTTTCCAAGAAACATTAATATTACTATATACATATTCCATATTAACATCTACAATTTCTCTATAGATAAAAGTAAATCATAGTTTAATTATTAATATGAGTTTGGGTGATCAATCAAGATATTTTCTTTTAAAGAACAGTTGAAGTTTACAATGCTTTAAATGTATTTTTTTAAAGAAAAATGAGATAGAGGACATTTAACAATTAAAACCACATGACATCTCATTTCTAAATAACTAAGAAAACAAACCATTCTAGTAATTATATAAAGTCCCATTTCCCTTTTTTCATAGCCAAATGTAGAAACTTAAAATCAGAAATTATTTCTTGGAAAATAGTATTATTTTAACTCGAATCAATAAATTTATCATACTTTTAATAAAATTTAAATGCTGATATTTAAACATTTACTTAAAAAATTTAAAAGATTACTTAATATATTTTATTTAATGTACTGTACAATTAATGAAACTAATTACAAAATTCAATTAATGTAATTAACCATTAAGTATTAAACATTTCAAACTTAAAAAAGTCTACTTGTTTTCTAGTTAAGATTTAATTGAAATTAGTATTGTAGAATCAACAAAACATGCACAATTAAATATGGCCTTTTAAAATTTTAGTTATGAAAGACATAAGCAAAAGTTTCTTAGAAAACTTTTTAAAAACGTGTAAGATAAATAACTACCAATAAAATTTTTATATAATGTTTTAACTGGAAGTGCGTATTACAAGTGGAGATTTGAATCACAACTATCATTTAGATCTAAAATCAGTGAAAGAGAGAGAAAGAGAGAGAGGAGAGACGATCATCTTATTAACCTTTATTCAGACCACCTCATTTGCGCGGGGTCGCAATCGCAGCTGTTTAACTGTGCGGGAACAACTGTTTCATCGCGGCAGAAATAACCTTCACAACGAAAACAGCTAATCAATTAACGTCTACATTATCTCCATTAGTTTTGCAGGATGGTCGAGCCGCCGTTTCTTCTAATTAATAATCACAGAAATCAATGTAACCTGCCACATGGAAGATAGAAATGATTAAATGTCACAGTTAATGACGGTCTGCTCGCAACGAGTAACAGGAAGCTAAGCAAACTTTCCTTATTACCACATAATTAATCATTTGTATATAAACGCGTTGCATCAATGGAGTCTGCGAGGGCATCATTTGTCAAACGGGGGTATACTTTGCAAATTAG